CAGATAGCGAATTGGTTTTAGTCTTAAAATATTCCTCAATTTATGTGTTTTCAAAATATGCACAATGAGATTTCTTTGCTCATCCCCTTCGGCCGACCCAAACGTGAGCACCCCATACGTATAAAAATAAAGTACCAGTTAAAATATAGATAGCGAATTGGTTTTAGTCTTAAAATGTTCCTCAACTTATGTGTTTTCAAAATAAACTGAATAAGATTTTTGTTTTGATTAATGTATTGATTAACTTGTTTAATAAGATTTCAGAAAAATTTTTATTTATATGTATTTATATGTATTTGTATATGTATTTGTATACATTTTTAAAGTTATTTAATATGAGTTAGGAGTAAGTATTGCAAAGTTGCTAAATATTATGGAGAATGGGTCACTGAGATTCTGAACAATATATAAATACATATAAGTAAACATATGTTTAATTAATTTTTAACATTCCCTTTCTAATAATAGAAACAAAATGTAATTTTCAAAATTAGTTACTCTTTAGTAAACTTTAATTTGTATTTATATAGAATCTCTTGTGTATTGTTTTTCATGATAATATTACATGAATGATAGTACAGTTCACGCTACAATTGCGTGACTAATACTTGAAGGATATATTTGTTTTATGATGTATAAAAGAATATGGTAATAGAATATTTAGATGTTACATATATAATTGTTTATTTAAAAAATTTGTATCAAAAAATTACATTAACAAAAAAAATTAATGTGATTTTTATGCTTTTAAAATCATTGTGCATATTTCGGGAGCACATAAATTGAGGAATATTTTAAGACTAAAATCAATTTGCTACCTGTATTTTAACTGGTTAGGTACTCTTGTACGTATGGGGTACTCACGTTCAGGTCGGTCAAAGGGGATAAGCACGAAAATTTCATTGTGCATATTTCGAGAACACATTAATCGAGAAACATTTTAAGACAAGAATTATTTCGCTTTCTCTATTTTAACTGATACTTTATTCTTATATCAGTAATATACATATATATCTTTTTTTGCGTATATTTTTTAAACTATTACAGATAGACTAATTTTGTTTGAGGCATTTGAAAGCACATAAAAAGCATATAATTCTAGCATATTGAGTTTTTTATTTTATATGTAATTTTAATGAGTGGGGGTGCTAGCTTACGTTAAGCCAGCACCCTCAGTTTCAATTGCAATTTTCCACAAAACCGCTCGAGCACAAAAATCGTGAATAGAGCACATAATTAACGCATAAAGATCACTTAATTTCTGCATATGTGTTATTCCGGTTTTTTATGGAGGGTGCTAACTTAACAGACATAAATACATTATATTACTTTTTTACCTTTTAAGATTTTTTCCTTTGTTTACGGATGTTTGCAAATCTAAGCTATTCCATTATAGAGTGTTCCAAGTCTTTCTCTGTATTACAAGGGATTGTTGTCTAATAGCCTCTAAAACAAGAAGAATTCAATATAGTTTAGATAAGAAAAAGGTTGTAATTTAATTTATACATAATTTAATTATAATAAGCAGCTTTACTTACGACTTGTGTAAAAGCTTCTTGGTCATCTTTTAGCATTTCTAGTATCTTGTACAGAGTTTTTCTTATAATATATTGTTCACTGATGTTTATCTTAGCCAGGGTCAAATTTTTCAAATGGTGGTTTTTTGAATTTGATACAACAATTGATCCCATATGTTAAGACATATTCATTGCCCTGTACATATAAAATATGCTTACAATAATCTATTTATATACTTTAGAGTGTGATTATAGCACATATATGTGAAAAAAATATAGAAATAAATAAAAAGTCAGTTTTGGTCTTGTTTGTACTGATCGTTTGTTACATATCTATCAACTTTATACCAATTTTATACTAAATTACTTTTACAGTGATATATGCAAACAATGATGTATTAAAGCCGCACAATACTTCAACAAATCGTCTTCATGCATAGTGTACCAGCTTATTTATACGTTATCATTTACATATTTCGCTAAATTTTGAGGTTATTTTATAGAAAGTTACACTGTTTTGTACCATTGAAATAATAGCATTGACGAACCTTGATGATATTTTTAATGTCCAAGGACAAATCTATTATAGAACGTAAAAAAATTAATTGATATTTCCTCTCTTTTGTAAATCTCTCTTGTAAATCGGAAAATGAATCCTACATCACCAGCTACTATTCATAGCACAAATAATTATAGCACGTATATGGTTAATTGAATTCTTATCATACAACTTTTAGAATATAATAGTTACTACTTATATATAATTATGCTGTAAATAAAGAGCACTCCGCACTCCTCGATTGACACACGTGTATACGCACTCACGCATCGTATGTAGGATAATCATGTACATCATGGCTGTCGCGATGAGCGTTGCGCACAATATAAAACGATAACATTATAACAACAGAAAATTAATATACTACCAACGTTATTTCTGAGTCCAAATTACAAGGAATTTTGAACTGTTGCATTGATCTCAAATAAATGTCAGAGTAACATTTGAAAAATATTTTCTGTAACGTTTTCAAAATATTTTAACAACATTCAGAAAAATCATATTACGAAATAATATTTTTTAAATATGTGTATAATATTATTAAAAAACGTTTAAAAAATACACATAAAGTCAATATTTCTAAACGTTAATTTAATGTTCCTTGCTTACTGGGTAGACTCTATATAGACTCTAGAACATTCTCGGCGGTTGGAAAGATGACAATGCAATCACTACAATTTATACAATATTAAAACATTCTTTTTTTTATAAAGTGTATTATATTACCGTTTGTGCTGACATTGCACTAACAATAAAAAAAGAAATCAAAAAAAGTTGAAAAAGTTTTCAGATCGCCGTTAAATATTTAATAGATACGGCACATTTATTATTCCATATTAATCTGTTTATTCATTTTAATATCAATGATGCAAATCATATGCGACACTTGTAATGTTCTAACCATTTCCATAACTTTTGTATTGGTGATATTATTTATATTGCTTGTATAAGCAATTTTTTAAAGAATCATCATCATCATCCTCTTATAAAAGCGGTATGAAACCCTGAAGTTGGCTGAATCGGGTTTGCAATTGTTGCCGCGTTATTGCGAACGTGATTGATCGTCTCGATTCAGTCGATTGATCGAGTGTACAAATGTTTTTTACATAAATAATAAAAAATAAAAAACATCACAAAGCGCGCACGAAGCGTGCGCTATAATCTAGTCATATCTAAAGAAGACATGTAAAGTCGATACTCGAATCTATCAAAGTTTATTGTTGTCGCTTTTGAGCAATTGTCATCGTATTTTAACAGTTGTGTGTATCAAGGAGTTAATGTATGGTAATAGTATAATGTTGAAGCTAAATAGCGCGTGCGAAACGCGCGTCTGTGTTGTCTATTCTTATAAAAAACTTATTAATAATGAATTTTAGATGTTATTGTATCTAGAACTGTCCAAGTCACTCAAATGAGCAAACAGAACATCATAATAAAAACGAACAAATAGTCAATAGATCAGTACCAGAACTGATCAGTTACTCGCAAGCGTTTAATATAAGAACTTCGGTTTATCGTGACACACTTTATAGTAACGAAAACATTTGTAATAATGTAATATTTCTAAAATATTTAGAAATTAAATAAATTTTTACAATATTTATATGTTTGTTATGCACATGCACATTTTTTAATAAAATAAATAATACATTATCTCTTTAAAATTGTTAGTGTCAATAAAGTATTAATAGAGTATTTTAACGTACTTTTTACTTACCAAACGTATTTAAAATATAAAGACTGTAAATAATACATATTTTGTGATTTGTGTAATTTAAGAATTAAAAGAAGTTATCAACACATAAAAAAAAGGGCGTAGTGCCCAACAGGAGTATTCGTAACTTTTATGTAAAATAATACTTTAACAAACGTTTTGCTCTGTTATCAGATCATCTTTAGTGTAATCAGTTAAGATAATACATAAAGACTAATAAACAAAAAGATAAAAATAAAAACCGCAATACATTGCATCAATCGCATTAGTTCCTATCGTAATATAAAATTCAAATCGAACGCACATACTATTTCTTTAAAGAATAAAAGTCGAGAAATAAACTAAAATAAATAACGATTCACAAATAACAACATATCATATAACATGTTACATGTCAATGAACTAATAACATTAGTGAAAATTTTACAACATGACTCTCTACATAGAACACGCCATGATCATCTCATCACAATATTTATGTACGTATTCAGAAAACATTTTTCTTACACGTTAATTTCGATGAAATATTATTAAGTATTTGTAAATCCATAATTCATTTCAGTATACTTTTCGATTTTTATACATTGAAGAAATACAAAGTGTATTTAATTCAAATTTTATACAGTACAGTGTTAAGAACTAAGGCGATTAACTGGTTTATTGTGATTTATATTTTTGTATTTTTGTACACCGGTCTTTATGATAAATCTTAACTTATCACATTAAAGATAATCTGACAATAGATCTCTCTCTCAAAACATTTGTTAAAATATTACTTTAATTAAAAGTTACGGCACAAAAACACCCTGTTGTGGCTCCATGCCCTTCTTTTTATGTTTTGATTTCTAATCAATTCAGTTTTTAGACATAAAAAAAGACACAAATAACAACATGTTACATAACATGTCACATGTCAATGAACTAATAACCTTAGTGAAAATTTTACAAAATGACTTTCTATATAGAACACCATAATCATCTCATCACAAAACTTATATATGCACGTATTCAGTAAAAAATTTACACATTTATTTCGATGACATATTATTATTTGTGAATCCGTAATTTATTTCAGTATACTCCTCAATTTTTATACAATAAAGAAATAGGATGTACGTTTGATACGAATTTTATACAGTGATAAGAACTAGTGCGATTAATGAGTTTATTGCGATTTACATTTTTATATTTTTGTTTACTAGTCTTCGTGTTATCTTATCACATTAAAAATGATAACAGACCAAAACATTCGTTAAAATGTTATTTTAATTAAAAGTTACGGCAGTCGGCACGAACACGCTGTTGTGGATTTATTCCCTCCTTTTTAAGTGTTGATTTCTAATTAATTAATTAAATTTTTAGACATTAAAAGAAGACAACAGAAGGAAACAAAGCTTGCTTAAACTGGCTAATTAGTTCGTCAACCAAGAATGATCACTATTGTATTGCTATTACTTATCTTTATTCTGCTGATATCTAATTATTATGTGCATTATTATGGAAAAAAGGGCCGACTTATCAATCTTATACCGGGACCGTCAGGTTATCCGATTGTTGGAAATGCATTTCAATATCTTGGTTCACAAAGTAAGTTATAATTTTATGCAATATATTCCGGTAAATAAGTATTCGCCAATGCATACAAATTTTCAAATATAATATTTGAAAACATTTTCCTCTGAGATATATAATTATCAATATTTTATTGCATGTTAATTGCTTTTAAGAATTATTTAAGCTTATAAATATTTTTAAGCAGTAGCATTCATGTATTTTGATTATTAGAGTTATTTGAAAAACAATAAAATATCTAGATTCATACATTAAATATAACAAAGATTCAATCATATATATTTTGATCAATATTTATAATATGTCCGTAAATTTACATAATAAACATCTATACATACATTTTTTAGAAGAACAATGGAAGTTTCTGTTTACCTTAACTGACGAGTTTTATCCCATTGGAAAAGTTTGGGGATTCTTCTTTCCCATAATATCCATTCGTCATCCGAATGATTTAGAGGTAAAATATGAAAAAAAAATTATTCTGTTTTTTTTTAATTATTGTTGCGTGCATGCCGCCCGGTATACTTTTCTGACACCGAGCTGAAGCGTGCAACGGAAAGTCTTTGATGCGAAACGCCTGTCCTTAGTAACAAGCCAGGTATTGATTTATTGATTAAATAAAACAGCTGATAGATTTGGTCTTGAGCTGCTGGACCGATCGGACGTGTGTCCACGCTCTTCTGTATCGCGACGTTGTAAAAAGATTGAGATTGTTCTTTTTATAACCTCAGTGTTTCCTTATTTCCGCGAGCGTCGGGAGTGCAAGCGTGTGAAAGTTAAATGTGTGAACGACCGACGCGGCGAGCGCAACAATATATTGACGATAAAATGTTTTTTTTTTTTTTATGTTTGGTCGTCAAAAGTTTAAAATAATTGTATATTTAAAATTAAAGATGATTATCTTTTATTCATTCATCTCTCAGAGATAATTAAATATGTAAAATACTTTTGAAATCAATTAATTGATTATTTAAATGGCGTCTAAATTAAATAACATTTAACTTAATATTTTCTGTAATTTTAGACAATATTAAGCAGCACAAAACATATCGAAAAAAGTCTTCTTTATGATGTTTTACATCCGTGGTTCAGTACTGGTCTTCTCACTAGTGGAGGTAACATACCGATATTAATGTAAATAATGGTACACGTTTTATTAAGTTTTGCTTTGGCTTGTTATTAAATTTTGTTTCAAGATTTAATTTTGTTGAAAGCAGAATAAATCTATGTATCGTAAACAGCACATATTATATCACACAGTAATTAAATTTACATATATGTTTACAATATCTCATATCAATCATGAAAAAATAATTGTAATTATTATTAAATATAGAAAAATAAATTAATAATTGATATATAATCACATTGAATATAAATATTATAAATAAATAATAATAAGGGTATAAAAAAAGAATTTTTTTCTTGTACGTTATATTACACTATGTGCGGTCATAAAAGTTTAAAGGCATATCACAAAAAAAATATATTTGTAATATTCAATAATTATTAAAAATCGATAAATTTCAAATTAAATAAAAAAATATATGTCTCACTGCACATTGTTATCACATAATTATGCAATATGTTATTTATATTTCAGGCGCCAAATGGCATTCACGACGAAAGATATTAACCCCCACATTTCATTTTAACATATTACAGCAGTTTATTCATATTTTGATCGAGGAAGGTGAAAACATGACCAAATCATTGAAAAATGCAGGAGGCACAGTTGTAAAAGATTTAGTACCATTTTTTAGTGAACATACACTGAATGCAATATGTGGTATGTTGTGTTCATAACTGTACATTTTAACTGCAAATTTTATTCCTATTAATAAGTAAAATTAATTAAAATCAAATTTTTTAAATTGTAAGTATCAAAATTACAACATATAAATACTGATTCGTATATAATTTTTACAGCCACAGATACTTTTAAAATATATATGATAATATTATCATGATACTTTTACAAATGCGTTTGCAGAAACTGCCATGGGCACTTCTTTACGAGGCCTTGGTGATTTCCAGCAACAGTATCGAGAAGCAGTTCATCAAATGGGCGAACTTGTTGTTTACAGGTATAATAATTCATGTTTTATTAAATGTAATAAATAACTGTATATTTATATTCTGCCTTAATTAAAATATAAATTTGTATTGTATAATTATATGAAGAGATAACCCAGTCAGAAATGTAACCTTGATTCAAGGTTAATTCAACGTCGATATGGTTGACAGCTGGTTGAGTCGATAAGAAAGTCAATATTCCTGCAATATCGATCATGTCCAGTGTCGATTCAAGGTTGATT